TAACAGGATCAGAATTTGATTAACAGGATCAGAATTTGAGTAACAGGATCAGAATCTCGCGTAACTGAGGCTAGTCGCTTACCACTCTCAGGTCACTGAAGAGCTACGATAGCTGAAGTCAGTTTGTCAGAAGTCAGCTGATACTTTTTTTTGTGCCTGAGGATCTGTAATCACAACTACTTGACTTTCCAGCAGAATATAAACAACCATCCGGTCTTCGGCTGACACATTAACCGTAGTCATTGCTATTCGCATCTGAAGGACTTGTAAATTATGTCACCGTTGGAATACAAAGTGTAGTTATACAGTGAAATAGAAACTGAAAGTTTCCCTGTTGGTGACAGGCCTCCTGTGCAACAACGCTCAGCTGGTGGCGGGGCAGCTCCTGGGGCAGCCGACCGAGGGCGCTCTGCTGGTAGCGGCTCTCAAGGTACGTGGGCACGAGACTGGCTGCTTCATGCCTCCAACAACTGCGCTTTTTTAGCGCATTTTCTCATTTATGAAAAAAATGCACTATTGTGCTCGCCATGTCCGTCCGTCTGTCTATCCGTCTGTCTGTCCGTGACTTCACGTTTTCGTCGACGAGAAAATGCGCTCTCTGTCACTCACTGCAGTGAGTACTGAGTTATATTTTATGGTGGAAATTATGCGATATCTTGACATCAAGTCAGAATGAAAGGCAGACATAATTTTGAAGGCAGATATTTTTCTGGTGGAAATTATGTGTTATCTTTACATCAAGTCAGAATGAAAGGCTGACATAATTTTAAAGGCAGATAATTTTGGTGGAAACTATGTGACATTTTGACATCAAGTCGGATTGGACTATCAGACGATCATCGGTAGTCAAGTCTTGTCAAGTCTTGGCCCAAAAAGGTTTGTAACTTATAGGTACATTGAANTAAAGCAATAAATTTAGAATGTAAGATATTTAAATAGGAAAACTCAAAAAGTTTGTTTATTGCAGACGGGCGCCGTGGAGTGGCTGGTGAAGGGCAGCGTCGAGTGATGTTGATTAGATTCGCCTTAATGCATATATTGCACGAACGTAAATAAATATGTTTATGTATTATAAGAAGATCTTAACGCAATGTTTACTACAGACGGGCGCCGTGGAGTGGCTGGTGAAGGGCAGCGTTGAGGTGCTGATGGAGGACTGTGCTCAGTACCATCAGGGCAGCTCCAGTCTGCCGCTCTCACCCAACACTAAAGCCGCCATCATCAGCACTGCCCAGCAGCATGCGCGCCATGGTCTCAGAGGTCTGACTTGTGCTATACTGCTATTAGCATCATCGTTTAGCCTATAAATTTAGGGGATAAGAATTAATTGAAAAAAGTAAACTCACAACATCTTCATGGAAACGTTGCAGAGACGTTTTTTGTTTTACTTGACGTTTACTTTCTGAGACGTTTACATTCTGAAACGTCTACATTCTTACTTAAGGTTTACATTCTGAGACGTTTACTTTATGAGATGTTTAATTTCTGAGACGTTTACTTTCTGAGACGTTTACTTTTTGAGAAGCTTACTTTCTGAGACGTTTACTCACTGCGACGTTTACTCTCTGCGACGTTTACATTCTGAGACGTTTTTCGTTTTACTTTTACTTTGCTTTTAAATTCTTGGTGAACTTGTGATATAGCAAATTAATGATGTAAGAACCTAGCCTAACTAGCAACCTCACCACTCCTCTCCCTAGCCTTGTCTAGCTAATGCCCATCCTGCTAGCGCTGGTGGCTCGTGCCGCATTTAACGTGTTAAAATAGAACTGAATTTCCAGTGAATTTGTAATCTTTAAAAACCATTTTTAATCACGCTGGTTTTAAATAAACTCGATAAAGCCAAAATACCATACTTGAATAATTTGAATTTTTGCAGTGGTTTGCCTGGCCCGAGGCAGCTCTCTGCAGTCGCTGGTGTACCAGGGGCTTGTAGGCATACAGGACCCCCCACGGGAGGCCGTGTCACACGCCCTAGACGTGCTCTACAGCACAGGAGTTAACGTTAAGATGGTCACCGGCGACGCCATGGAGACCGCGTGTGCTGTCGCCAGGGCTGTTGGCATGCACGTACGTATTTAAGGCTTTGATCGACATCACAAACATTAATGGCGATAAGAATTAACGTATAATTGAACTCACTAGCAATTAACGCTGTAGCGCTAGGAAGTAACGCTGTAACGCTAGAAATTAACGTATAGGTAACATTAATGACGACACGAATTAACGTATAGTGTATAATTAATAGATATAGGACTATTTTATTCAAAATATGGAATATCTTGCGCGCAAACACTATTTTATAACAAAAAGAATCTTTATACCGGTACTTCATAGTTGAGTTGCGAATTCAGAGATTTTCACAAATTTAATCTTGCATGTAAACATGAAGGTTTTTTGGTAGTTACAGTTTTGAGCTTAACTCTTGAAAGGACAAAAAGTTATTAAAAGCTTGAATGTATTTATTTGCTTGTGATTTCTCTAGGCTGCTATTGTGACTGCGTTTACGGGATATGTTCTACTTAATAGGAGTGCCAGTTTAATTTCCAATAGATAGTTTTATTTGCTTCAAACTCTGTTTATTTTTTCAGGTTTCTCCAGGTGGTGTGTTCTCTGGCAACCACCTGGATAGCGTTGACGACAACCAGCTGGC